TTTCTAGAGCCTCCTTTTTTGTTTCCATGGTGGAATTTATGGCACAAGGCCAAGGTACCAGAAGTAATGGGTGTTGTTGGGTTAAAGAACCTTAAGCCTGCTTGAGGCATCCTTTTTCCCAAGTAGTGTGTGTATGGTGCTCACCTCGGCTTGTGGCCTCGCACCCTACCATCTTATCTATTGAAGAGACTGATTCTTAGTTTGTAGGGCTCTGTTACTTGCACTTTGCTTCAGGTGTTTCTACTATAGCAGAAACGATTACCAAATGGTGATCAAACCGTCTTCTTGATGATGTCCCCCCTCCCTGAACTCAACTACACCGCAACAACAGCACCTCCCTCTTTGTTGCACCCCAAGCTGATCCTTTGCGCCCTCCATTCTTCTGTGATCCCAACCACCACCTGCAACCAGGGTGGAGTCATGGCTGTGCAGAGCGTGCTGTGGGCGGCAGTGTGGATGGAGGTATCCTCTGTCGACACCTGCGCAGATCTCTGACGTTGGAGAGAGAATGGAGCCCTGAACTCGTCTGCACTACTGCAGTTGCCTCATTCCTCGCTGTGCATTCTTCAGGGAAGCTGAGGATGATGAGGAAGAATAAGGAGCTGAGTCCTGAACATAGACAAAGACAAAGAGATGAGGGGTGGTAGACGGTAGTGATTTCCATGGCAGAGAGCTGTCGGAGAGGAGATAGGATAGGTAATGATGGGAGGACAGATACACAGAGGTTTATCACGTCTGTCTCGTGGTAAATATTTTTAGCTGCAGGTGACGCTGTTGATCGCACACCGTTTGCACGCATCTCAGAATGTGGGATTGATCATTCAGATAGCTAGTGAGGCGGGCAACAAATCCATTCTGAATTGTGGCACAAGGCCATGATACTAAATGTGGTTGGCTGGGGCTTGGGTTAAAGACCCTTAGGCCACCTCGAGGTGTCCATGGACCCCTGTAACACAGTGGCGCCATTGACCTTCAAGTGCCCCACAAGAGCATTGGAGAAACTATTGTTTATTTCTTCTTTTGAAGTTGTAACTTGTGCACTTGGCCAGTAAAATAACAATTTTTTTCAATCATAACAAAGAGAATCTTACCAGCTAATAGCACCTTTCTTAACAAAGACATCTCATCCCCTTATGACTTTCTTCCCCTAATAGGCTCCAGCTTCGCTGCTGCTTCTGCCGTCTTGCCACATTTATGCTCACAGGGGCTGATGCCTATAAGTGCTGGATAGCATATTAATGGTAACTACTCTGATTTGCACCGACGTTCACTAATATTGCCATGTCATTGTGCAGTTTACTTGTCTGCCTTTTGCTCACTTGTTGGCTTTGAAGCGAGTGAAAACATGTAATTGATGGTTTGTAAACATCAAACTCTGATGTGACGTTAATGTAGGGGTTCTTGTGAGCCAGTGCATTCTTGTCATGGCTTATGCGTGCAGAGAAAAGTTGATATATCATAACTTGGAAAACTATTTGACTTGAGCATTTTTGCTCAGCTTCATATCAGTATAGCGCATATTATAACCTGGGACAATCAGATTGAACCGCAAGCGGCATTTCCTATTTGCTGAATTGTCGTTTGGCATTTTAAGTTTCATTCTCAAGTAATGGACTGTTTTTTTTATTTCTTCCTGCAAAACTTATTGTGCTTTTCCTGTACACATTTCCTTTTCAAGTAAGGACGAGAAAAATTGGGAGGCTGACAGATCTACCATCTCTTGGCTATCTGGAAATATAAGGCTTATTAAGCTGTGACATAGTACCAATTTTTTTGTCTATGCATGTTTTTTGTTCTATCAATTCTAGTTATCTGGATGGTCTTGAGATAGTTCTTTGTTTCATCAACGTTTCTGGGCAAGTTTCATCTGTAACGATTCACAACTTCCAGAGGAATCGCACCATTTTGGAATATTTTCAGCGTGTTTAAACGAACTACTAGGTTTCTGGGAGAGTAACACTACGTGAAAAACAGTTTGTAGCAACGGGACTTTTTTTAGGGGCGGCTAGCATTGGAGCCGCCCCTACAGTGGCGTGCTCGGGCTCCAGCACAGCAGCCGCCCCTACAAATGGCACAGTAGGGGTGGCTGGTAATACGAGCCGCCCCTACAAATGCGTCGATTAATCCATGGTATGTGACATATAGAGAGCTGTCCCGGACCCGAGATTTTTATGAAACCCAGTTAGCAGATCGAAGGCTCGCGTCCGTGGCCATTTAGAGAGCATGTGGGCTCCCATTTCTCTGTCTCCCTCCTCGGTTCCTCCTCGCCTCTCGATACGGACCCTCCCCACCCCATTCCTCTTCTAAAATCTGCAAGCAGTGGGGGATATGGAGGCCCTGCGCCTAGTGACGATGCAGCAGCTGCTGCCCTGACCTCACTTTTTCCCTTGTGTTGTTTCCCCTTCGGTGGCGACGGCGCTAGGGTTCGGCATCCATGGCGGCAGGGGCGCAACACACTCAGCGGCTGGGGCTAGGGTGGCTGGATCCATGGCCGCTCGTGCAAGGGCGACGGGATCCTTGGTGGCTCATGTGAGTTCGTTAGGATCCATGGCTGCTCCTCTAATGGTGGCCCAATCCATCAGTACCTAGGTACCTGAAACCCTAACACTTCTCCTGTTTCGTCTTCCTTCTAGAACTTGGAATCTCCATGGATCTGGGGTTTGTCCCAAAAATCCAGCATCCATCGAAGCCTGATGTCCTCTGGCTTCCTTATGATTTTTATTTCATCATGTTAAATTTTTTAAAGGCGTTAAAACTGTACTTCGAATTCAGGCATTGATGCAGTTTTAAAACGTGGCTCCTCTTAAAGGGCTATACTGAAAGTTTCGGTTAATGTTGTACAATCGTACTGGCATCTCAGTAATTGATTTATGAAATTCTAGCAAAATTAATTGTTCTATCAGATTTTTTATTTTCAGAATCACCGATTCATCATGTTAAATTTTTTAAAGGCGTTAAAACTGTACTTCGAATTCAGGCATTGATGCAGTTTTAAAACGTGGCTCCTCTTAAAGGGTTGTACTGAAAGTTTCAGTTAATGTTGTAGAATCGTACTGGCATCTCAGTAATTGATTTATATAATTCTAGCAAAATTAACTGTTCTATCAGATTTTTTATTTTCAGAATCACCAATATATAATGTCAAATGTGTTAAGGTATGCTGCAAGTTATAATGCTTTTTAGAGAATTGATTTCCTCTATGACTTCTAGTGTTATTTTTTTCTCGAAAGTGGAAACCTTATATTTTCTGTTGCAGGGATACTACATCAAAGTTTATGCATTCATGGCATTCTTTCCGTGTGCCATTTATAGGATAGAACAATAATAGTACTTACTCCACTAGCACTACTGTATGTGCAACTGCAACTACATTGAAATAGAAAAGATTGTTGTTTGCCTGCTACTGCTGCTGATTTACTCTATTATGTAAAATTGCAATCCCCATGTTAACTTAGTTTAACTTGGAACTGTATACCATGCATTTATGTTACGGAGTATTTATATCAGCCTGATGTTTTTTCTTGCACCAAATCTTTTATTTTAGTGCTCAATTTAAACACCAATGTTGCATCTGAACCAACTCAAAATGAGGTCATTGAAATGCGCTGGATTGATTATTTAGGTACAGCTTAAAGCTACAGCTTAGGTGTATATTGCATTCTATTTATATAGTACATCATAGCTAAGGTCGGTTGTTGTGGGCTGTGGCAACAGACATATTACAGCCCAAAACCAGTTTACATGTCGTGGTCAGACAACATTAAGGGACTATTTAATCCCCTTGTATTTCCTTAAGTCCCTAGAGCAACAATGTTTCTGTACATTTGGATATTGTTCTAATTTTCTGTAAGAGATAACTGAACTTATATTACTACATTAGTTGAATACACACCATTTTTTTCATCTCTTCTCTTTGCAGGAGATCATCTCGTTGAGGGGATTGGATTTTCTACTGATATGAGGGCATGTGCCAATTGAATCATGTTAAGGTTACAAGGTTAGTTTCAGTCAGAGTGTCACATACTTAATGGCCTAGTCTCTTTTGTTTTCATATGATTTAGTAGAGCTCTTGTTAATGCAGCAATTTATATGATTTAGTAGAGCTCTTGTTGATGCAGCAGTTGAAATCATATGAAAGCAGTCATACGAATTAGACTTGTGAATTATGTCTATTTAATGATGGATTATATATATTCTTGTAAATTAACTTTACTAACGAGTAAAGTTAATCAGTTAATTATATTTTTGCAGGTGTGCATAAGCTGTCTAGTGTGCATGAGCCCAGTTATTTCATATCGATTCTCAAGATGTATACATATCGACAATCATCATTAGCTTACACTACTGGAATCTCGAATATTTCTGTGCGTGCAAAAACCCACGAAAAAATTCGAATACCCATGGAAAATATTTTTTTGACGGTGTACCGTCAGAAAATAACACACAGAAATAGAATGACAGAAAAATCGAATTTTTCTGTGGGTTCACCGTCAGAAACAATTTTTCTGTAGGTCTCACACGCACAGAAAAATTGTGTTCGCCCAGATTAAAACTAAATTTTCTGTGTGTTAATCCACATAGAAAAAAGAAATAAACGCACAGAAAAACACACGTTTTTTCTGTCGGTTTAGGTAAACTCACAGAAAAATTCATTTCACCCAGATTAAAAATAATATTTCTGTGTAGCCAGCCTCACAGGAAAAAAGAGTTAAACACACAAAAAATTATTTTAAAACAGTAGCAACAACATATTAAAATATATATTTTCCATACAGTAATTTCTGTGCATGACCAACAAGGTTTCATTCAAATAATACACAAATCAGTAGTTCATCATGAATGGAGTCAACAGTTATGTCAAAAATAGAATCAGTCTGATCTATCAGCACATATATCATATATACAGATATGATATCTGGTCATCTACATGCTCAACATGAATACTACAATGAATTCACAAATATGGATATGGAAAAAGAAACAAAACTATTTTTTCTTGTTCAACTAATTGTAAACTGCTTCACCTTGCACTCCATCTCTACCTGTAAGAACAGTCAACATGAATACTACAATGATTACACGGGAAAGTAGTCATTTCTATTTCCTAAAGTATCCAGAAAATGGGAATACAGTATGTACTAGCAAAGGGGAGACAAAATCATTGAACTTGTATGTAACTTCCAAAGGCTTTAACTTTTCGATATAAAGTTTTTTCAAGCCATCAATGACAGAAGTAACAGCAGTCAGAGGTATCTGTTTATATATAACACCATAAAAGGAAAGATCAGCAATAATGATATATGTGTCATTGACAAAACTAGGGTCAATTGACAGCATTTCTTTATATAGGGAAAGGTCTTAAAATTGGCACAAAAATATCTCTGTTGCTTAATAATGCATAATAGAAACACAAGTACTGAGAGCTATGTTGTCTTACAAACATTTTGGTGGACTGTGGGCTTTCTTTTAGACAACTTAACATGCATCATATTGTTTCCAAGCTCGTTAACAGACAAGATACAATTAAAATAAATAGTGAACCAGCTACAGAAGCTTACACAAGCTAAACAAGTAAACTTGCTGCCTTTTCCTTTTGCTAACGTAAAAAGACAGATAACTGATCTATCAACATATGCTCACTAATGAGGATATAACAGAATTTTCCTCAAAAGTTCCTTTGGTGCTCATATGCAATAGATACTCACAAGAACGATATTCTAGGAGCATACTGAAGAAAATTGTGAAGATGACATGACTACATGAGTATTACCTTCTTTGATGACTTTGAGCTAAACCATTTGTTTGTTAAATGGGATTGTTCTTGAGGGTATCCTGCATGGATAAAAAAAAGGTTTGTATCATAGATTTCCCCCAAGCATGAACTTCCTGTTAAAGAGTGCATTACTTACCATCCATTTCTGGATCAACAGGCTTCACCAAATGCTTAGATTTCTGAAAGCAGTTGCCATCATATTTACTACAAGGCATTGAGATAAAGCACAAATTCGATAAAGAAAAACTGTAAGGACATAGTAATGCATTACCGCAAGTAGGGCATCCAAACCTTCCATCACAGGTGGATTCAAATCATAATAAAAATGACCCATGGGGCAAATCAGAAAATACATGGGACAAAAGAAAAGGAGATGGAGGTGATGGTGCCTGGGAGAAGTCTGTTCATGGCCATGGCAATTGGGAGCATCCCAGCAACTGGAATGGGTAGAGTTTGAATGTAGATCATGACACGTGGGGAAATGCCAGGGGCAAAAAGAAGGCAGATGGTAACTGCCAATGGGAGGAGCAGCCAAGCACTTACAAACGGAAGAAGACAAAAGTTCCAGCTTGGTCCAGTCAAGCAAACAAAATTAGTATTAAACCGTGAAGTGTTGGGACTATGGTAAGAGCCTAAAGCAGTGGCCATAGCATACAAGCTTCCTAGAGAAAGACATACAACCAATAGAAAGAGATAACAACAGTCATAAACGTATAATCCATTTGTCCAAAAATTGAATTACACCAACCAGATCAATGTAATGATTTTGTTTGGGTTAAAGAATTAATAAGTGCTGCCCCTAGCTGCTACAATTTGAATAAGCTGCTGCTACCATTTGAGCCTGACACATTCTTTACCTCAAAGACAGAGTAACTGCTAATGCATGGTCTGAATTTTTAGACGCAAGCAACATATACGCAACTGTATTTTCAATTCTACTACGAACCACATATCAATCTCACTAGATCTCTTTTTAATTTAATTCTAACACAACCAGACATGACATAGAAATATTAACTTTTTACTAAATATACAAATGTTACTATTGCTAGTCATCATATAAATTCACAGGTCTTATCCTTACTGGCACTTAAAGGCACTGGAATCACCAACCCACAAACTGAAATAAGTACAAACATTTCTAGTGGTCAGACTGCTGCTTGTGCCAACATGCTGATTAGCATCTATTTATTTATTATTTAATATGTGAGACAACATGTTATCATCACTTAGTCACCCTCACACATCTTCTGTTTTTTAATCAAATAATATCAGTATATATCACTAATTTCCGTTCAAGAAGCAACCTAAGGCAAGCAATAGGTGTTGAGCAATTAGCACATTGTGAAAGCAAGAAACAGTGTTGCTAGTTTGAAACAAGGATTAACACTGAGGTCACACCGAGCAGATTAGCTTCACAGGGCAGTACAACAGTTGCTCATCTCACTGTTACAAAACTACTAATAAACAATGGAATAGTAAGTATACATCTCACACACCATCTATCTCAGCATGGTCTAGCCTCACAGCCATTTTGGAAGAGCTTTACCTTGAATTGAAAAGGCAATTGAGGGTTCCAATGTTGCCTATGACTCTGCATATGGACCACTGCAGCTTTCAAGCCTCCTCCTTGTGTCTAAATCTTGAAATGCAATGCTAGACTATCAACTTAACAAGATGAAAATCTGTGTAACATAATTTTAAACAGATGCAACTATGCAAGCAAAAGCCTAGCAGCTAACAAGGCATACCTAGCACATTTTTTGTCAATGTAAATATGATAGTTTTCCATGAATTGTTACCCGCAGGCTAGGGTTTCGTGGAGCACAAGAACCGACGCGGACCGGAGGGAGGAGGCAGCACCGGTGAGCAGGCACGGCGTCGGCCACCAGCGGAGCCCAGCCGCGCTGCGCTCTGGCCGGGGACGGACACCGTGGGCGGATCCGGGGCGGCGCGGCGGATCCGGGGTGGCGCGGGGCAAGGAGGGGAGGGGCCGGGGCCGGCCGCCGGTGGGAGGAGAGGAGGCGGCGCGGTGGATCCGGGGTGGGTGGGGCAGGGAGGGGGAGGGCGGGGCCGCGGTGGGAGGAGAGGGAGGAGGGGAGGGCGGGTGGGGCAAGGAGGGGAGGGGCGGTGCGGCCGCCGTGGAGGAGGAGAGGAGGGAGGGGCGGGGCTGGCCGGCGGGAGGCGAGAGAGGAGGGGGCGGGGGAGAGGAGGGCCGAGCAGTGAGCGAAAGTGCGTCGTCTTGGCGGCCGGCGGGTTAGGGTTAGGACTTGTTTTTTTATTTATCACGTGCATATATTTTCTGTGCGTGCATATATTTTTTCTGTGCGTTTTTGAAGCACCGACATAATAAATTGTGTTTTTTTGTGAGTGCTGATTTTTTCCGTGTGTGTATTGTCACGCACAGAAAAATCATACAATTATTCTGTGGGTTTTCGTATTTTTCTGTCGGGATATTTTGAAACCGACAGAAAAATCGTAATTTTTCTGTGCGTACCAAAAAAAACGCACAGAAAATTTTTTCACCTACAGAACAATTCGAGTTTCCAGTAGTGTTATATATTTGTATACATACTTGTAATATTCACTTAGGTAGAAATCCTCAGTACCAACATCTTGTGCTCTTGTGCTTGTGGCCAGATTTGAATATATATATATATATATATATATATATATATATATATATATATATATATATATATATATATATATATATATATATATATATATTCTGGTCGAATTTGAATTTTTTTTGCGGAAAAATATATTGTAGTACAAACAGGTATTATAGGGGCGGCTAGTACTACGGTCGCCCCTACAAATCAATTTTATAAGGGCGGCTAGTGTTACCGGCCGCCCCAACAAATTGATTTGTAGGCCGTCGCCTCTACAAATCGATTTGTAGGGGCGGTCTAGGAACCCCTACAAATACATGATTTGTAGAGACGGTATAATAAGAGCGGCTGGCCGAGCCGCCTCTACAAACCATACCATCGTCAGCCGTCCCTACAAATGCTTATTGTAGTAGTGTAAACTCTCGACGCCTTAAAATAGTTGGGCAAAGCGCAGACATTGAGGCTAGAACCGAATTCACGAGCAGAGGACAAGACTTAGGTAAAAAATATCAGCACATCTATGGCACCAGGTTCCAAAAAGACTAAGCATTAATTAATTGTATGTATGCAAAAGAAGACCAAGCGTGTATGTGAGCAAACAAGACCAAACACTAATACATAGATAATACCAGAAACAATGCTCATTGTTATAACTTACATCATAACACAAGTTCACAACATTGCGAAAATGATCCTTAATTTTCTCTTGGGTCATCTTAGCACAACATAGGGAAAACGATCCATAATTTTCTCTCGATTTGGTCTTCCATTCTCCACCGTGACAGTTGGCTGTGAAGGAGGAGGAGGTGGTTGTGCTGGTTTTGGGTCTTTGCCGAAGCCCATGAGGGCGTGGCCGTGGGTGAGCAGCATGGCGCCCCGCGGCAGGCCCACCGTGTCCCTGTTCTTCAGAGGCTTCTTGTCCCACCTGCACCATGCATCGTTGTACAGTACGTACACAGTATAGCATCATCGATCAGTTAGCAGATTCATTGCGTACAGTACGTGTATACATACAGATTATATATACAGTACGGTCTCAGAAGCAGCAGGCCGGCAGCATGTATATATGTGTATACGATACGGAATACATACGGGCGACAACGGACGAAGAAGACGAGGTCAGGTACGTACCACTACCGGAAACAGTAGTTTTGCCGTGTGCCACGGACACTCGGCAAAGCCCAAAAAACACTCGGCAAAGAGCACACGGCAGCTATAGTACCGGCAAACAGTAGCTTTGCCGAGTGTTTTCTGTCGGGCACTCGGCAAAGACTTTGCCGAGAGCTGAAAATGACACTCGGTAAAAAAAAGTAAGTCACGGAGCGGAAACGGTCACGGCATGTTTGCCGAGTGTCAAATATTAGGCACTCGGCAAAGCTTGCCTGTTTGCCGTGTGTCAAAGTTTGGGCCCTCGGCAAATATGGCCCATTTGCTGTGTGTCAAACTGTGAACACTCGGCAAAGCTTGTCTTTTTGCCGTGTGTCAAAGTTTTTGCCCTCGACAAATCTGGCCCATTTGCCATGTGTCAAACTGTGAACACTCGGCAAAGCTTGCTTTTTGCCATGTGTCAAAGAGGGTGCACTCGGCAAAAACCGTTCCAAAATCCACAGAATTTGGCTTCTTTGCCGAGTGTCATACAGCAGACACTTGGCAAAGATGTCATTTTAGTCCTAGAGTGCACAGATTTTTGACACGTGTCTACTTTGCCGAGTGGTTTACACCTGGCACTCGGCAAAAAGGCTCTTTGCCAAGTGTTACACTCGGCAAAGATGCCACAAATAATCACTTTATTTGGTTCGGTCACAGCCACGTACCACATTCAAATAAACATCACATCCATCATAGATAGTTCACAATAGGCATCACAAGCAATTCATATACATATATCGACAACACATAGATGCAAATAAACTTCAGAATCCACAAATAGTAGTCACAGCTCATTCACAACCACAAGTAGTCACATATAATCCATAAATGCAAATACAAATAAAATCACAAGTACTTAGGCCACGAGTTCACTGCGACAGGGCTTCACTTAGGCCACGAGTTCCACTGCGACGGGGCTGGGTCATGAGGCTGATCCGATGCCGCCGATTGATGCTGCACAAAGGAGAAGAGATTGCATGTGTGAGAGACAAGATTAAACAACACGTATGCACAAAGGAGAAGAGATTGCAATATCTTCTCAGTTTTCTATTATTTTACAGTTTATCTTCTCAATTATTTTCTCAAGTGAAAACCTATGTTCAAGGCTGAGAACTGTTTTATGATGGAGGTCATAACATAGGGTAGAATCTTCAAGCATTTTCTATTAACTGATGAGCCAATGAAAAGATTGCTCAACAGTTGCTCAAAAAATACAAGTGCATCAGATTCTCTCCAGAGACAATCATTTGTATTAATAGTAAATAACAAAGCCACAAGAGCACAGAGAAAACGATCTTGAATTTTATCAATCTCGTTGTCAGAAAGATGCCAAGCATTAAACAGTACCCATGGACCACTCTCATGCATAAGGGCAGCACCTAACAGTGCATCAAGCAACAAGGGCACAATGTTGATCTCAAGATATGATTCGTCTTTCATGTACTGAACCAGCGAAGGTAAGAATAACTTTGAAGTTTATTTGCATCTATGAACTAGTAGTTCATATAGAATCATGCAAGCAATAAAATAAATATTGATAGAATTAAAATATTGCTATTATGGATTCTTCACTACGTCATATATGGTTTTTAGGGGCGGCTAATAAGCATTTGTAGGGACGGTTCGGCCAGCCGTCCTTACCATACCGTCTCTACAAATCATGCATTTGTAGGAGCGGCTGGTGCTACAAATCGATTTGTAGGGGCGGTTGGTACTGTAGCCGCCTTTATAAATCGATTTATAGGGGCGGTCTGGGAACACCAGCCGCCCCTACAAATCTATTTGTAGGGGCGGCTACAGTACCAACCGCCCCTGCAAATCATTTTTCCGTAAAAAAAATTAAATTTACAATTCACGTTGTTCAGGATCCACTCCACGAAGTAGGACGAGTTCTTGTTCTGCACATTCAACATCTGCTCGTCCACCTCCTTGGTGCTCATCTTCCCACGGAACATGGCTGATGCTGTCAGGTAGCGCCCATGTCGTGGGTCAGCTGCGCACATCATGTTCTTGGCATCCCACATCTACTGGGTCAGCTCGGGGACGGTGAGGGCACGGTACTGCTGGGATCCCCTTGATGTCAGTGGTGCAAAGCCAACCATGAAGAAATGGAGGCGAGGGAAGGGTATCAAGTTGACTGCAAGCTTCCGGAGGTCAGAGTTCAGCTGGCCTGGGAACTGCAAGCAGCAGGTAACACCACTCATGGTTGCAGAGATGAGATGGTTCAGGTCACCAACTGGCAACATAAAAAAGCATGATTCAGATTCATATCTAAATGGCAGAAACAAATGCAAGAAACAGGGCAGAGAATCATGAAATGATCATCTCAGGGCATTACATTGTAGTATTTTGTAGTACAAAGCAAACTTCAAAACAGATAGTACGGTGTCAAAATGCTAGTGAGATGCATGTGCCCGACATACACATAAATTCAATCAAGCAGTGCATGATTGCAATAACTGTGCAGCAATGGCAGACAAGGACCATGTAATTCGTTGCAGCATCACAAGACATATCCAAGAGATAGATTTGTGTCACAGGATTTCACACGAAGATGACTACAATCCACTCTTTTGCACCACCATATGAAATCAATGATCAACAAATACTAAAGTTGTGGGTGCAGTGACTGAGCAAAGTAGCAATGCAAACTTACAAGTGGGTGTAGCAAGCTTCAGAGTGCGGAAGCAGATGTCGTAAAGAGCTTCATTGTCAAGGGCCATACACTCATCAGCATTCTCAACAAGTTGATGAACTGAGAGTGTAGCATTGTAAGGTTCGACCACAGTATCAGACACCTTAGGTGATGGAAAAACTGAAAATGTGAGCATCATCCTATCTGGGTACTCTTCCCTGATTTTTGAGATGAGCTGGATGCCCATCCCAGAGCCAGTACCTCCACCCAATGAATGGCAAACCTGAAATCCTGCAGAAGAAAAGGTAAAGATTATTTCAGATAGAATTTCGGAGCAGAAGCATAAATCAAACGGACAAGCAATTTTTTTACACAAAATATCCAATAACCGAGATTCTAGTTGCTTTGTAGATAATAAGATGACATGAAGATGGACAAACCTAGCAAAATGCAACACCCTAACATGAACCAGAAGCAAATATCCTCTAGTAACCACTAGCCAAGATGAGTTGTAAGCTACATTACTAGCCTGACAGATGAATTTTCTCACAGGCACAGTCGCACAGCCATTTGCACCATTTTTATAAACAACAAAACGCAGATAACAGAGAAGTCCAGCACAGCCAAAGTAAAGAAAATAGGTTAATAACATCTCTAAAGTTAAATCATCAGTTATATAAGCTCATCTCTCACAAGTTAAATGGCTCAATAAATACTTCACAGTTACTAGTAGTACGAAAGAGCCGGATTCCTTGTTGACATCTAACTTATGAGTTCAAGCAGAACTAATTTGAAATGGTGACAGAAAACACTTATCTATACTATAGTCAGGTCAGGTTGGATCAGATCATATATTATAGCTATCTTCTTTTGAGATGCTAGATGTCAACAAGAAATAAAGAACACATATTGTTCTAACAAATGCACCGTTGCTACATCCTATAGTAGTGTAGAAGCATGGCATACCTTGATATTAATCCTGTCGATGTTATCTTCTCCTGTGCAGCCCCCATGTTATTAATTTGATCTATCCTGACAAGTGAGATGTTTTGTCAACTTAACATGCTTAAATAAGTGAGATGTTTTGTCACTGGCTTATTGAAGAGGCTTATTAGTTAACATGCTCAAGTTTGTCAATCACCTGAGGTTGCATATAACCCATTCCTTGGTTGTATGCTCCTTGTTGGCCCTTCTAAAAAGAGCAGAAACAGTCAGGTGGAGGTCAAGTCTATTAGGCAAACATACAGTAGTTTGTATGGTGAAGACCTGAGATTTTGATCACATTTATACCCCTAGTAATTTTCTAATAAAAAGAACATGTGAAATGCCCTATTCAGAAAAGAAGCTAGAACTTGCAGTGCAAGCACATGTTGCTTAGGAACCAATACATGTGAGGTTAATTGACAGTTTTTTTTCAGAATGGAACTTGAGTTCACACTTTTTTCAGAATAGGACTCAAATTATATATATTAAATTGGTAGAAATGCAGCTACTACTTTTTTCAAAATAGGACTCAAATTACTATAAGAGGAAATAGCATAGCACGTAATATCTATCAGGGATACGATAAGCTACTACTAATAAGTGATGGATCCAGATCAGGAGCATGTGATCTAGCCTAGTAAGAGTCAAGTGGGAGAGGAGTAGGGAAGGGGGTGAGGAGAGATGCAACTGGAAGAGCCCTCCCCGCCGCCAAAGCAGCCTCCGCCATCATCTGACCTCGAACCCTAACAAGAAAAAAGAAGATGCGGAGGAGAAGGGAAAGGCCGGAAGGGAGAGGGGAGCTGAGGAGACGAGATCGATCTACCACTACTACAGAATAGACTTGTTGTCCCGGGCGGTAACGGCCTTTAGTCCCGGTTACCGCGCCGGGACAATGATCCCGGGACTAAAGGTGCCACCTTTAGTCCCGGGTCATCGAGCCGGGACTAAAGAGGGACCTTTAGTCCCGGTTGGTGTTACCAACCGGGACTAAAGGCCCTCCAGCCGAGCAAACGTGGCCGCACCCTTTAGTCCCGGTTGGTAACCCCAACCGGGACTAAAGGTTTCTTTTCTTTTTCTTTTTTTTTTAATTTGTTTTCAGTTCAGTTACACATATTTGTTTAATATATAATATATTTTTATGTATGTATTCTACGCTGCTAATATAAATACACGCACGCATATAATTACATCTAATTCTCATCTCGAGCATTATTATATTCGAATAAAGTATGAACCTATATATATTATAGATATATATATATATGTATATATACAACACTTTCATAATCTTGTTCTCGAAAATAACGATATCAATAAACATTTAATTTACATCATTTATTCCTTAGGATCAAAGTAGAACTCGCCGTTGGGATTTAGCACTTTTTCTAGAAGATATCTCGCTATTGACTCGAAGCGCTTTCAGATGGTCTTTTGCATGACCCTTCGTTTCAACCATTCAGTCTTGCATTTGAAATAAAAGGAAAAGTATTAATACATATATATATATATTCATTTAAAATAATAAAAAAAATTGATATATACGTACTCGAGGACATCTTTAGGAGTTCTTCTTATAATGCAGTGATGATAAATTCACAAACGTAGTATCCACACAAGTTATTACACGGTTCTCGCCCAGAAAAACACCACCTGCACGAGAGAAGAAGATTATTCTCATCATCTCACACGTAAATTGAAGTACGATATAGTAATTAAACACGTGGGGAAGTGTATATAGTATAACTTCTTTGGTATTTCAACTACATTAAGTGGTGCCTTGCAATCCTTGCGATGTTGCCGAATAAACTCTTTCCAAACCCTATGCGACCAATAATGTACGATCGTTAATAAATTATGGCAAAGTCTATTCAATAATAGTTGTGCGCGAGAGATCGAAATTACCCTCGGATAATGTCTATCATATCTTGGTATAGTGCCCGCTCTTTTCTCAACGAGTCAAAGATTACTAACCGACTTGAGTTTAACTCAATGACAATGAGTATCCAAAGTGAAACTGTATTGGTTTATACACACACATACATGCATATAAGTTGTATTGATATTACATAAAATGTGTAGACTACATTATTATTAACACTTACTCAAAGTTGTACGGGAAAAGTATTGTTGTCTTGTCGTCTTCGCTTCACGAAGAACATCATGATATTCTCCCGTTCTTGATACCCACCGCTCCTTGACAATAATACCGGTTTTGAATACGATACAAGGATCAATGAAGCCAACACTTTGGTGTCTTGTATTCTTTGAAGCTCGACATCCGGAATCAGTATATAAATATAAGTTACATGTGAGGATAATTATATACACGCACGCATGGAAGTGAGTTTATTAAATAAAAGTAAGAATCACTTACAAACAAAAGGAGCTAATGATTGATTTGTCCGGGCGTCCAAGTGGAATAGTTGATGCAATTCTTGAAACTAATATGTAAGATGTCATCGCCACGGAAGTAATGATGGTCTCTAAATCGACAAAGATCCACTTTGCTCACCCGCCGCCACACCTTTGCATGTACCACTTGTTGAGCAAGTACATTTGCGTACTCCAATTCATTCAGAGCCGAGGGTTGTACAGGACTTTTGCCATATTTATAAGTCTTCCGGTATCAACTTCAGTGTTTTGGATTGGAGCTTTGCCCGTCAATTGATCCAAGGTTAAACCAAGTATCTTTAAAAAAAAAGCATTAAGGGCTTGAACCGACACTTCTCCGAGTTGTCCGGTCGATAGACTTCTATGTTGGAACCATATTCATTAGCAACAACAAGATTTTGCATTGGTTGCTTCGTTGTCCGAGTTGTGGGACATCCTTCCCCGATGCTCTTTTCCTTTTCTCGTGCATCATGTGACTTCACGAGGGAGCAGTCATAGTCGATAGTGGCGAAGGCTTACGAAGTTCAATCATCTTTTTCTTGTGAGCATCGACCTTACGCCTCAAAGCACCTCTCGTGGTAGGTAAAAGTACGGCTTCTCCTTAAGCTTCGCTTGACTCTTGTTTTGGTATCTATAAAAAATCTTTCACTTTTTTGTCTTCTTCAAATTGCTATTTGCTCATCGGTTTTTTTTTCAGAAGTATTTCTTGAGAAATAACTCTTTTTTCGGGGTCTTCTTCACGGGACCTTAGACGTCTTTGTAGTGCGTCATTTGTGGAGGGGTGGGGCGGTGTTGGAGACCGGCGTGGAGGCGATGTGGCGGTGTTGGTGGAGATCGGCGTGAGGCGTTGGAGATCGTTGTGGAGGCGGTGGGGGCCGTGTAGGAGTTGGAGATCGTTGTGGAGGCGATGGGGCGGTGTAGGAGTTAGCGATCGCCGTGGGGATGAAGTCGTCTCGCCCAGCGACTGCTTTGTGATGAGATGGGGAATGAATGATTAGGCTAGGATGGGGGGAGACCCTTCTACAAAAACAAGTTGTGTGTCAATTATTTTTGAAGCCAATAGAAAATTAATGGAAAATAATATTTCATTCACTTTCATTCGTACCTAGGGTGAGGTAGGGGAAGCGGTGGCGCCCGGGAATGATGATGAAGCGTTTGCGCCATTGAATAAATGTCTTCTCTGCTTCTCCTAGTGTCTTTCCCCATCACCGCCTTCAATGTCAAGAGGAACATTCTTTGTAACCTTTGAGCACTCTATCGACCGAGACGCAAGCATATCCGGGTTGAATAACCGACCCATGGATTCTTGGTGTCTTTGTTCGGTCTATTGGAGATACAACCCCGATGTACCACCATGATTGATGCATTATTACCATACGGAATGTGCAGCTCACATGTTGTTAGAGGCTCGGTAATGTCATCAATGAGAAAGCGCAACCCCAGTCGTCTTGAATAAGCTGGTAGCTCCATAGAAGCACAAGCGCTTTTCATCCGACCAACGGGCTAATGGTGACTCCGGCGTTGATTGCGATTGCATTTGACTCATTGCTAGCTGCACTTGCCTCTTGATCTCCTCCGCATTCTTGCCTCAAGAGATTTTTCTCGTTCACGTGATTCAAGCAATGCTTGTCGTGACTCATCAACAAATTGCTCCAATGCACGGATTCGATTCGCCTCCTCATCCTTCTTTCTCTGGCGGCTTCAGAGGTATCCTTGTCTCTTTGGGAATGAGTGTAGCCATGGAACCGCCCCATAGCCTCTTGTTCGACCACCATGTTCGGGATTCTCTAGGGCATATGTCAATTCATCCTTCTCTCTGTTGGGCTTGAAAATACCACTATCGCCTTCTTCCCTAGCACGAGCTAGTCTCGT